TAATAATAATAATAATGATGATGATAATGATGATGATGAAAAATACACGATAAGTGCCGGAAGAAATTCACAGTTAAAAATCATCCAAAATCGTAAAAATACGTTTGAGATATATATACATCGATTACAAAGATTTTATCTTCTACAAGTCCACCTTTAGACGTATAAACAAATCTATGAGCTTGCATTTGTGTATAGTATGCTGAAGATTTTTTTAATTTTTTCAAATTTTGGAGCAAGATTTTTTTTTTCAGAATAATATTGGCTCTTTTAGGGTTGACTGGTTCATCAGTTCTTTTTTTTTACTTACATTTTTTAATAAAACATTTCCAAATTGGAAAAATGTTTTTATTGAACCTAATTACGTTTCTTAATGAAAACTTAGGAGGAGGGCTCATAAAATAATTATCAAAAATATTTTTCTTCGTTTTGATCTTGAAAACAAAAATTTAATATCATTATTTTACTTCAAAATTGTAAATTACAGGCTGTCGCCAAAAATAAGCTTAAAATAGAGTTGAAAATAATGATTTTTGAAAAATATCCAAAGAACAGAACTTAAATACACTTTGTTAACGAAAAATCCTCTCAACTATTAGAAAAATCACACATTTACTACAAAAAAAGTCAACGTTTATACACGTTGTAAATAATCCCACAATTGAATGAAATAAATTAAAATTGATGACATTTACACTATTCGTGTGGAATTGAATGAATGTATCAAATCATTACACATTAGTATTATTCCCTGAAATTTTTCTGTTTCAGATATATCAATGACGTGAAACTTTCGCCACACCGCCGACTCGCTAGTCAACAATTTGTAAGAGCCAGTGTAAAAAGTTACCTCACGCATCGCCAGCCTCGACCACTGGTGAACAACTCCAACAACAAGTACACGCACACGTGTGTCTCCAAGCCCCTCTGTTGGAGGAAAAAAAAAAAAAAAAGAAAAAAACCATCCCTCTTGGCAAAGTGCCCTCCAGAGAGCAGGATCCGGTACAAAAGTGTGGGGGAAGCGTCGTTTTAACGCGCGGCCGAGCAAACTGGATGGAAGGGGGAGGGGAAAACCCGAAAATGCGGGCCACACTTGAGAAGTTGTGCACATCATCGCATGGCCGAGGCTGCACACGCTGTCGGGAAGACTAACGAGCGCTGGGGAGAAGGAAGAAATCGCACCCTTCGGTCGGTCGCCTGCTTTATTGCGATATAAAAATCAAAGAGGGTAGTCCTGGGCGGCTTTTTTTCCCTTACACTTGACCGATCGCGCGAGGGATCGAGCTAATTTCGACGTCTCGGGAACCAGAGGAAGGGACGAGCGACGGGCGGGGAGGTATGGCTCGTTGTGTTTCGTTGCGTGCGATCGGATGATGTAACACAAAAAGGATAATACCACTCCTAAGGTGAGATTGTCGATGACTTGCGACTTGTTTTTTTTTTCTCTCGCGTATTTTTTTTTT